CTCAAATTTGTGTGAAAAACTTCACCCACATCCTTAAGTGGGCTTATTGCTTATGGTTCACATTGTAACCTCCTTGGATACCATCTTACGGAAGGCATGGCTTCACTGAAGTGGGCAAAAGGATTTTGTTTTCTGTGCTGGGCATGGAGTCCCAGGCCTCATGCATGCTAGGCAGGTACTCTACCGCATGATTACACCCCCAGCTCCGAGATTTCTGTAGCTTCCCAAGAAATTCTTTGTTTTGCTTTGATTTTTTTTTTTTGCTTGAAATGGGCTTTGTTATGTAGTCCTGGATGGCCTGGAACTATGTACACCAGACTGGTTTTGAATTTGTCACGATCCTCCTGTCTCTGTTTCCTAAGTGCCAGGAATGTAGGTATGAGTCACCACACCTGGCTTCTTTCAAAAGATTCAGATATGTGGCCAAAGTTGAAAACCAAAAATGGAAGGAGTCTCACACAGATTATAAAATAAAGTCCTTGGCAGACAGTGGTGGAGGAGGCAGAAGCAGGAGCTCTGTGAGTTCAAGGCCAGGCTGGTCTACAGAGCTAGATCCAGAATAGCCAGGACTACACAAAGAAACCCTGTCTCGAAAAAAACAAAATAACAATAATATTAAAATTAAGTAATTTCCTTATCCTAGATAGGAATACTTGCCTTCAGTGGGACTCCCACCCTTTTCTCAGGCCCTGTAAGCCTCTGTCCCCAACTTCTACTTTCCCAGAGCTCTGATCTCACACTTTTTGTCCCTCAGATCGTCAGCAAACGGGCAGGCACTCAGTGCACTAACTGCCAAACGACCACCACAACCCTCTGGCGGAGAAATGCCAGTGGAGATCCCGTGTGCAATGCCTGTGGCCTCTACTACAAGCTACACCAGGTGACACTCTCCTTCATGGTGCTTGCTGTCCTTCCTCCACTGTGGTGTCCTCATCCACCTTGAGCTCTCTTCCGCCCAGAGTCTTCCTCCTCTGCCGTCCCTTCCGCTTCTCTCAGCTTTCTCTTCTCACGATTTCTTTCTCTATTTGCTTCTCTTCACACTCATCCACTCTTCCCATCTCACGCCTCCTTTCTGTCCTTCCTTTCTCTCCCATTTCTCTTCTTGCCACCTCCACTACCTTTCCCTTCCATGTACTAAGTCTTGGGTACCTCTTGCCAGTCTAGGAGGATATTCCAAGTTCAGGGCCTCATGGCCACATGTTTCTCTACGCCAGCGACCCTGGGTACATCACCCTAGTCATTGAATTAATTCCCTATTCTTAAAACAGTGGGGTTGAGAGGATATCCTTAGCCCAGATATATACACACAAAGGGTTAGAGCTGGCAACCCTGTGATCTCCCTTTCTCCAGGTGAACCGACCTTTGACCATGCGGAAGGATGGAATTCAGACTAGGAACCGCAAGGCCTCTGGAAAAGGGAAAAAGAAGCGGGGCTCAAGTCTGGGAGGAGCAGGCGCAGCTGAAGGGCCAGCTGGTGGCTTCATGGTGGTAGCTGGTGGCAGCAGTGCTGGGAATTGTGGGGAGGTGGCCTCAGGCTTGACACTGGGCACCACAGGTACTGCCCATCTCTACCAGGGCCTGGGACCTGTGGTGCTTTCAGGACCTGTCAGTCATCTTATGCCTTTCTCTGGACCTCTGCTGGGATCGCCCGCAGCCTCTTTCCCCACAGGTCCTGTGCCGCCTACCACCAGCACCACTGTGGTGGCTCCCCTCAGTTCTTGAAGGTACACAAAATGTCCTAGGCCTTGCAGCAGAGAAGGTGTTCCCCCCCCCCTTTTTTTGAGACAGGATCTCTGTAGCCCAGGCTGACCATGACAAACTTCCTGATTCTCCTGCTTCTACCTCCCAAGTACTGGGATTATGGACATGTATGGCCATGTCTGACATTTTTTTTTCCTGTTTTTTGTTTTGTTTTGAGACAGGGTCTCACTCTGTAGCCCAGGCGGCTTTGAATTCACTATGTAGTCTAGGATAGACTCAAACTTGACATCCTCCTGCCTCAGTTCCTGCAAGCTGGGATTCCAGGCATCTGCCACCATGCCCATTTCTTCCTCCTCTTAGAGCCCAACCCTACGGGCCGCAGACATCACCTTGCCTGTACCTTCAAAGATTTTGTAAAATAAAACCACCAAAGACCTGAAACTAGAGCCACGAGTTTGTGTTTGGCTAAATAAATGTCAGTGTCTGGTAGGGGTGTGGAGTGGCGCCTGGGCTCTTTGACGACAGAATCTAACAGAAATGTGTGCATACATGAGCCTCAAGGAGTCTGCAGTATAACATTTCACAACTGAAAAATCACCATCCAAAAATGTAACCGCATACATGAAGTTTTGTGGACAGCATCCAGGTGGTTCCATGTGTCTTTGTAAGATGGTGTAGGACTGGTTAATTGTGGGGGAGGTGGTGTAAGATGGCAAGGGGCTTACCAAGCTGCAGGAGAACAGCACGTAGAAATGCGTGTGCCGTGACAGGCGAGGAGACAGGTGAGGTTGGAGTTGCATGGTTGTGCGTGACTCTGGATGATCACTGAGACAGTGTGACATCACAAACTGGGCACAGAATCTGATGAGTAAGCACCTTTGAGACACTGAGCAAGGACTGTGTACGAGGCCCAATGGTAAGGCTGTGACAATGTGCATCAATGAATTCTCTTGTTGCTGTTACAGAGGCCTGATAACAGTAACTTACACTGGGAAGAGTTTGGATTCCAATACATCACAGTAGAGAAAGCATTTTGGCAGCTCTCATGGGGGTGGGGACTACAGCAAGACTCTTCATGACAGAACAGAAAAGTAGAGTGACACTGGAAACAGAAGTGCTATGACCCACAAAGGTCACCGCAACCAGTCAGGCCTCACAGCCTTCCAGAATAGTGCCACCAGCTAAGGACCAAATGTTTAAAGATATGAACTTGTGTAGGACATTTCATTCTCAAACTTTACCAAGACGTGTGTCTCTCTAGAACATCTTCGTCGCTCTGGAAATGGCAATTCTTTCTCTGCCAGGGTCTAAATATGTACGGGTGCATGCACCATATAGAATGGGCCACATCACTGTGTGCCTTAGGGCTCACAATGGGAGCAGCTCTGTGTACATTCGTGGAGCTGTCAAATGCATACTTTCCCACTGTGAGTTAGGGACCCTCCTCCATGGGAACCTTCAGGAAAGGAAAGTGGGAAAGAGTGGATTACATTGAAAGCTCAAATGTGCTCCCTGAGCCTTCCTGGGAGGCATCTAGCCCTTAACTAAGCCTGCTGCCCTATAGGGAATGGGAAGAATGAACGGACTAAGCCTATAATCCCAGCACTTGGATGAGGCAGGTGGATTGCAACTAGTTTGAGGTCTCATCTTAAAACTAAGTTCTATGTGAAGGCTCAGATCAGTAATTCCAGGGTTTGGAAATCTGGGCAAGTTAAGAGTAAAAAACGACAATACAAAACTAGCGTCTGGAGAGAGAATTCAGCAGTTAAGTGCAGCACTCTGCCAGAGGACACTGCTGGATCCCCAGCACTCACACAGTTCCTCACAATTTTCCGTAACTCCAGTTCTAAGGGACCATACACCCTCCTCTGGCCTCCCAGGGCAACACCAGGGCTGCAGGTGGTGCACAGACATACGTGCAAGCAAAACACTCATCCACATAAAATTAAAATTAAAAATGGCCTGTGAATCTTATACCTGCTAGGTGGGGAGTACCACACTGCCAGGTACCTCTTACACCCCTATTAAACTGGGTGAGCTATTCCCTGAAATGAAATATGTCATTCAATTTAATAAGCATAAGTTGGGAAGATGGCTATAGGAGATGTCTCAGCAGTTAAAAGCACTTGCTGCTCTTGCAGAGGACCCAGGTTTGGTTTCCAGCACCCACAAAATGGCTCACAAGCAACTGTAACTCCAGTTCTAGGCGATTTGGTGCCCTTTCCGGCTTACAGTATACATACATACATGTAGGCAAAAGCACTCGTATGCATAAGGTAAAAATACATGTCTTTAAAAATAAAAATATTTTTAAGGAAATTAAACACTTAGAAGATAATGTACGTTTAAGTTGGGAACATTCTAAGACAAGTGGGTAACGTGATTCACCCAAGGCCATACAGTTTAGCATAGAGCTGGGACAGGTAATCTGGTCAAAGATTGTCTGGCCTCTTTCCTTCTAAGGTAGAGGCTAGAGGATCCTAAACTCAAGGTCATCTTTGACTGCCTGTGAAGTTCATGGCCAGCCAGGGACACATGAACCCTTTCTTAAAAATAAAACAAAATAAATTAGGTATACAGGCTATCCCAGAGGAATTCTGGTAAGAATCTGGTGACGATGGTGTACCAGAAACCAGAAGCCTTGAACCAGACCAGTAACTCATTGCAATGAACATTTGCTAGTAAAGCTGATAGGACAAAAGGGTGTATATACTATGTGACACACTGTGGCTCCCAGTGCTACCAGGACACATGAAGAGATGTTGGAGAGGCAGGAGAGCAGGAGCAAAGAGGTTTTTTTGTTGGGGGGGGGGTGGTTTGGTTTTTTGAGACAGGATTTCTCTGTAGCTTTGGAACCTGTCCTGGAACTAGCGCTTGTAGACCAGGCTGGCCTCAAACTCAGATCTGCCTGCTTCTGCCTCCCAAGTGCTGGGATTAAAGGTGTGTGCCACCACCGCCTGGCTGGTTTGGTTTGTTCTTAATTGTGTTGATTTGCTTGCTTGCTTGCTTGCTTGCTTGCTTGCTTACTGTGTTTTATTTTCTTTGGTTGGGCGGTGCTGCAGGGTGAGGGGAGGAAATGGGGGGCTGGGAGTGAGTGGAATGGGGTGCATGATGTGAAACTCTCAAAGAATTAAGAAGTTAAAAATAATTTACTGATATAAAATCATGAACATATATAAATTAAAAATTCTTCAGTATACATACAATCTTATTATTCATCAGAAAACAAAAGCAAATTTTCACACTAACAAGATATTTATTTATTGTTTTTGTTTTTTCAAGATAAGGCTTCTTCCTGTATCCCTGCCTGTCCTGGAACTTGCTCTGTAAATCAGACTGACCTCGAACTCAGAGATCTGCCTACCATCTGCCTCCCAAGTGCTGGGATTAAAGGTGCTCACCAGTACTGCCTGATTAACAAGATATTTACTTTTTCATAAAGAATTAAATCTTGGAACAAGAAAGACGGCAGTTAGTAAATCATCTGCCTTGCAAATGTGAAGACCTGAGTTCAAATCCTCAAACCCAGGTAAAAAGCCAGATACTGTAGCCTGCACATGTAATTGCAACACTGTCAAGACGGAGGGGGAAAGACAAGAGGGCCCCTGGTGCTCACTGGTCAGCCTAGCCTACTTTGTGAAGTTCCAGGTTAGTAAGATGCCAGGTCTCAAACAAAAGGTGGGAGGTGACATTAGAGATTATTCTCACCTCCACACACATTCAGAAGAAAAGAAGAAATCTTGGCTGCATATTTGAAACTGTACAAGTATATCTTGATTTTATTATCAATGCTGAGCATGCCACTTCAAATAAATATGTAGTGCAAAATGAGAGAATTATATTTAAGCCTGGGCTAGCAAGATGGCTCAACAGGCAAGGGTGCTTGATGCCAAACCTGATGCTGAGTTCAATTGGGGGGGGCACACATAATGAAAGGAGAAAACTGACTCCTGCAGGTTGTCCTCTGACACACACACATGCACACACACTAATTGTAATTTTTTTAAAAAAAAAAGTGTGTTTACGGCTATTTTAGAAGTTATTAGAAATTCTGTTCTAATCCTAAACAAAATTTAATGGCTTTAAAAAATGAAGTTAGCACTTCAAATAGTAATTTAAATTTTATTTTACCATTCTATGTGTATGAGTGTCTGCACATAGGTCTGTGAGCCATATGCATGCCTAGTGCCCACACAAACTGGAAGAGGGTGTCAGATATTCTGGAAGTGGACTAACTTACTGGTTGTAAGCCATGGTTGCTAGACACTGAACCGAGTCCTCTAGAAGGGCAGCCGGTGCTCTTAACCTCGGAGCTATCTCTCCAACCTCACTCAAACACTATTTTTTTTAAAACAGGGTCCGTCTACATAGCCCCAGCTATTCTGGAACTCACTCGGTAGACCAGGCTGGCCTTGAACTCAGAGACCCATCTGCCTCTACCTCCCGAGTGTTGGAATTAAAGGCATGCACCACCATGCCTAAGAACCGTAATTTTATTTTATTTATTTTAGTGTTTTGAGACAGTGTTTCTCTGTAGCTTTGGAGCTTGTTCTGGAACTCGCTCTATAGATCAGGCTGACCTCGAACTCAGAGATTCACCTGTCTCTGCCTCCTGAGTATTGGGATTAAAGGCGTGTGCCACCACCACCCGGCTGACAACCATAATTTTTTTTAAGTCAAAATTCTAATACAATATAATAATGGGGATTAAACTCAGCCTAATTCATGAGAGGCAGACACTCCACCACTGAGCTATAACACCACCTTTTTTTCCTTTTAAAATTTTGCTCACACATGACTATAATTAATTCTGATTACTTGTTTACCCACACCCTCTCTTATCTGTCTCCCACCTCTTTTTGTTAATTTTTCAAGACAGGGTTTCTCTGTAATTTTGGAGCGTATCCTGACACTCACTCTGTAGACCAGGCTGGCCTCTTAACTCAGAGACCCACCTGCCTCTGCCTCCCAAGTGCCACCACACGCACAGCTTCATATTCAGTCTTAACTCACAGTTTAAGAAGGTCTACTTTAGCTGGATGGAGGCAAAGGCAGGTGGCTCTCTGTGAGTTCAAGTCCAGCCTGGTCTACAATGTGAGTTCCAGGGTAGCTAGGACTGTCACACAGAAATCCTGTCTCAAAAACAAAAACAAAAAATATAGAGCTATGGGGAGGAGGTGGAAATTTAATAAAAAAAACACTTTGAAAAAATATGGAGCTGGAGAGGTGGCTCAGTGGTTAAAAGCACTGGGTGCTCTTCCAGAGGACCGGGGTTCATTTCCCAGCAACCTCATGCTAGTTCATAACTGCCTGTAACTCCAGTTTTAGGGGATCTGACACCTTCACACAGACATACATGCAGGCAAAACACCAATGCACATGAAATAAAAATAAATTTTTTCAAAGGTCTACTTTAGTTCATAATGCCTGAACAAAGTCTATTCATACTCATCTTACCAATAAAAACGTGAGGTTTGCACCTGTTAAGTATCTTGCCCAACCACCCTGAGTTCAACGAGTGGGTTCTGAACGGAGTGACTGCCCCCAGCCCTGCAAATCAGCTTTGTTTGTATTAGTAGAGATGTCTTCCCTTGGAACCCCACACATGAACGATATGGAGGTACAGAAACTAAACACAGTTGGTACCTAACTCTTCAAAGAGCCAACTCCCTGTCGTTGGTGCCACTGAGTGCAGCCAGGTATGGCAACTGACACCTGTGATCCCAGAACTCAACAAGCTGGAAGCAGTAGTGCCTTCATGCATTCGAGGCCAGCTGCGGTTACACAGGGAACGCAAGCCCAGCCTGAGGTATATAGAGATCTTATCTCAAAAAAATCACCATCACTCATATTCCTTTCAGAGAGTGTCCAGAATGGCTACAGCCTTATAAAAGCCACATGTATGCCTGACCCCAAAAGAAGCTCAGCCCTCAGCTCTCACACCTTGCAGGCACCCCTAAGCGGAACTGCTGTTATGTAGGTTCCTGGCCTTACGTTGATAAGAGATCCCAGGTTCACCCCCTCCTAGGGGTGAGTGCAGGAAGCACAGGCCAGTTCTGAGACTCTATAGACCTGACCTCTTGTGTGTGTGTGTGTGTGTGTGTGTGTGCATGCGCGCACACACACACACACAAACCCTCTCTCCCTCTTCCCTCCTCCCCTCCCTCCATTTTTCCATCTCCCTCTTTCCCCCCCCCCCCTACCTCCCCCCCCCTCCCCCGACCCCCCCCCCCCCCATCACCTTTCTTCTGCTCTCCTTCCCTTCCTCTTGCCCTCTCTTCCTCCCTGGTCTCACTTGCTATGTAGTTCAAGCTTCCATCTAGTTGTTTTGTTTTTCTCGATTTTTCTGACACAGGATCTCACTCTGTAAGTAACCCAGGTTGTCTTTCTTCTCAGTATGTATCCAGACTGACTTTGAACTCGTGGCAATCCTGCTTCAGCCTCGAAGGTGCTGGGACTTCAGGCATGGACTTCACACCCTTTCTAATGATCCACAGGGAATCCATTCTGATTCTGGATACAAGCACCGTCCTCTACATTAGCCCGGTTAGGAATCTCGGACCACACACAGCAAGGAGCCCCTGTACCACCCACCCCTGAAGGTGATGCCTGTCCTGACCTTCTATGTGAGCCTCAATCTCTCTGTGGGTCCTATGTGGACCTCAGGCAGGAACATCACTGGCATACCACTGGTTACTTCCCTGTCCTCCATAAGACACCTTAAATAATAAACTCATTTTTGACTTCCACAGATCTGACTTTTCTGTGTAGAAATTTCCATCCTTAACTCCTTCAGGAAATCTGATCGTGTGTAGAAGCTCTTGGTTTTATTGTCAGCAATAAGCCCTGACCACTACCTGGTACAACAATCCTATTAAATATCACGTCTTACCCTGCGGTATCAGCAAGAACCCCCGATCCACCTTGTAACACAGACTTTTGTTTGGAACTTGTTGAGAAAGTTCTTTCTTAGCTGGGCATGGGTATGCTTGACTGTAATCCCAGTACTCGAGTAGCAGAGGCAGGCAGGGATACAGGGCTAGCCTGGTCTAGGCCAGGTAGGGCTACCCTACCTCAAAACAAAAAGGTGGGGGCCTGAAAAGATGGCTCAACAGTCCAGAACACTGGCTGCTCTTTCAGAAGACCCAGATTTGATTCCCAGCACTCACAAGCACCTTTTCCTCCATTTCCAGGGGATTTGAAGCCCACTTCTGGCCTCCTTTGGCACCGGGCATGCAAATAGTGTGCATGCAGGTAGACAAACCACAATACACATAAAATTAATTAATTGATTGCAAAAAGCCAGACTAGTCTAAACAGCAAGATCCTATGAGAAGTAATAGCATGGACACCTGTAGTTTACTTTCTACCTTGAATCCTGCCAATCTTATTTATGAAACTATGGACCTATGGCTTCACCTGGCAGAAGACCTCCTGATTGAGTTCTCTGGAGCTAAACTGGCCATGGCATTATCCTGAAAGCCCTGCCTTAATCTGCATGGAGCCCTACCTTTTGTTTTGTTTTGTTTTTTGTTTTTGAGACAGGGCTTCTCTGTGTAGCCCTGGCTGTTCTGGTACATTCTGTAGACCAGACTGACTGTTCAAGTTCTCTTGAACTACAGATTTACCTGCCTCTGTCTCCCAAGTGCTGGATTAAAGGTGCGAACTACCACTGCCCTAGGGGTCCACTGTCTTGAACCAACAGAAGACGCATGAACCCAAATCTTGGAAGTAACCGCAGTCCAAACTCTGCAAAGAACTATGACTCCCACCAGGTACCTCCACACCCTGAGCTGGTACAGAAAGCTTTTGCCATTAAATTCAATAGGAATCTTCTGTCTACCTTTTTAGAGGAACCTAAGGAGTGAATCACTATAAAAAATGCCTATCCTGTAGGGGAACATGTGGTGGTCTCGTTAAATAATCCATATTCCAGTGTGGGCATGATGGTACACAATTGAAATTCAAACTGTTTGGCTGCTGGGTTTTGTTGTTATTGTTTATATTGCCAGGGATGCAATCTGGGGTTTCACATGTGCTAGGCAAAATGCTCTACCAAGTAACTACATCTCCAGCTACAGAATATCTTTGCTCTTCTTTCCTTCCTTCCTTTCTTCTCATATATGCTAGGTAATTATATGCTAAGCTACATCCCTAGTACATGTCCTAGCTACTCAGGAGGCCAAGAGTTTAAAACTAGTCTGGACAACATGCTGACTTCACTTCTTTAAAAAAAAAAAAAAGTTTGCCGGCCAGTGGTAGCACACACCTTTAATCCTAGCACTTGGTGGGTGGATCTCTGAGTTCGAGGCCAGCCTGGTCTACAGAGTGAGTTCCAGGACAGCCAGGGCTGTTATACAGAGAAACCCTGCCTCGAAAAACAAAACAAAAAACAAAAAATGCTCAGTTGGTAAAGTGTTACCTTCCAAACACCAGGACCTTCGTTTGATTCCCAGAACCTGGTACAACAAGTCATTGTGAGGGAGTATACTTATAATCCCAATACAGATGGAGACTGGACACAAGCAAACCCCTAGCACTTCCTGGCAAACCCGCTTAGCCTATCTGGGGCATTCCCAGCCGGTGAGAAACTCTATCAAAATCATAAACCTGCACTCTGCCTGGGGACCACCACCTGGGCTTTACACACACACACATTCACCACTACACACAGCAACACACGCATACAAACACATACATGCCAAACAAAAGAGTTCCATAACTCACAATCTGAATTGCCATAAGCATCTGTCTGGAACCTGTCTTAGAATCTTTAGTTTAACACATACAGGATTTCATGAGCCCTATTATCTCCCATTAGCTTCACTGCTGTACAGAAACACCTGGATTTTTTCCTAATTACTGTTTGACACACCTATGGAATATTTTTACACTAGCCTGTCCCTGTGGGATGTAAGAAATACCCATGTTGCAAACTATTTTATGCTGGGAAAAAAGATTTTTAAATGCAGGCGCTGTAAAGGAAGAACACTGTCTTGAGGCACTGTGGATGATCCCTGAAGGCAAATACTGCAGGTCAGTGAGCAGTAGTGTGTTTTTAGCAGATCCCCCTGTGTGTGGAGAGGCGGAAAATGGGGAAAGGTATTAATAGAAACATTCCCAAATTTTACTTTCCAAAGAAGGAGACAAGAGGACCGTCTATCTGTCAAAGAGCATTGAACTGTAACCCTCTGGGTTAATGTTGTCATATGTGACACCTGGCCTATTATGCTGTAATCCTCTGGCCTGAATAACTGCAGAAAGCCTTAACTCTTCAGGCCTTAAAAGGAATATTCTTAAATCTGTACAGAAATCAGAGCCTTCACATCCTCCCCTCTCCCTTGACAATGGCTCCAACTCCTTAGTTGGAAAACCTGCCTTCCCAGCTAATATAGTCATTCTCCTGACTCCAGACAGCAGACACTAACTTGAACCCACAGAGGACTTCTTACCTTTGCAGTAGAACTCCTGTGCACTTGTCCAGCACGTGTGAGTCTCTGGATTCCATCCCCAGCACTGCATCAAAGAAAGCAAGTGTGAATGTCTGGGATTTTAAGCTAATAGAATTATTTTCAAGATTTATTTTTAATTCTGTGCAAGAGTCATCTACAACTTCTAGGTCTAGGCCACAAAAGCTTTTCATGCAAGCCTCTGCTCTGTTTCCCCATCTACCACTAATGAGAACTCCAAGTACATAGAGGAAACTAGGCCATAAAATGGTATTTCTCTAGGTCCATGAATGAGTGGCAGTAAACATTCTGATGGTATTTTATATGAGGAAGAATTAAACACATACTTGTTAAGCCCTTGAGTTTCTCACAACAACTAGCATAACATAATATTTAGGTCGGTTAATAACAATCCCTCGATCTGAAACTGTATGAATACCTCGTTTTTTTTTTGTTTTATTTTGTTTTTTAAGAACAGGCTAGCCTTGATCTTACTATGTAGTCAAGGAGGACCTTAAACTTCCGAACCTTCTGCCTCCACCTCCCAAGTGCTGGAATTACAGATGTATAAAGCTAGGACTCCGTGCATGCTAGGCAAGCCCTCTACCAACTGAGATACATCTTCCATCCCAGCCCTCAATGTATACCACTCTTAATGTCTCTGAACACAAGCATGGTAGCTGTACAGAAAGCACCTAGGTGACCTGGAAATTGATCACGTGACTTCTCATCCTAGGGCTAGAGAGATGGCTCAGGCAGTCAAGTACTTGTAGTGAAAGCATGAGGATTGGTGTTCGATCCCCAGAACCCATGCTTGCGATTGTTTGTATTTTTTTTTAAAGCCAGGGATTATGGAGAAGGCTCAGCAGGTAAGGGTGCCAGCCACAAATCCTTGAGGATTTTGAGTTCAATTCCTGAGACCCACATGGCAGACTTTCTCCTACCAACTCGCACAAGTTGTCCTCTGACTCCACAAGCACGATGTGGCACTCTCGTGCTTGCACAAATGCACACATATCCATAAACAAAATGAATAAAATGCAATTTTCAAAAGCCAAGTGCAGCATGTACCTGCAATTTCAGCACCAAGGGGACAGGAACAGGATTCTCAGGGCCTGCTGGCCAGCCAAGTCACAAAGCTCAAGTGAGACTGCCTCACTGGGTGGTGGCAGCACATTCACTGGTGGCACATGCCTTTAATCCCAACACTCGGGAAATGGATGTGGGCTGATCTCTGAGTTTGAGGCCAGCCTGGTCTACATAAGAGAGACCCTGTCTTAAATGCCTCCCCCATCAATAAAAGCAACTCTGTTTCAAAAAATAAGATGGAGGGGGCTGGAGAGACAGCTTCATGGTTTAAGAGGATTTGCTGCCCAACTGTAAGGGCCTGGGTTCAGATACAAGCACTCATGTGATAAGCTGGGTCTGATCTAATGAATGCCTGTAAGCTGAGTGCTGGCATGAGGTTGAAGGAAGAATGATTCCTGGAACTTGCTGGCTGCTAGCTTAGGTTAAAAAAAAAAAAATGAGTTCCAGATTCAGGGAAACTCTCGTCTAAAAGGAATAAGGTAGATAGAAAGTAACATATATAATACCTGACAACCTCCTCTGGTCTCCACACTTGTGCAAAGATGCATGCATTTGCACACATGTGTGCAGATAGCACACAGACAAACCACACTCATGGACACACACAGAGACAAATAAGAAAGCAGTTTGAAGTTTGAAAACAGTAAGGTGGAAAGTGAAGAAGATGCTCAAAGTTGCCCTCAGGACTCCATGTGCACACACAAACACAGGCATACACACATCAACACAGAGAGAGAGAGAGAGACAGAGACACACAGAGAGATATCTCATCTTGAACTCTCATAGGAACCTATAATCTAGAACTTTCTAGAAACCATTGTCTTGTTCTGCATATAAACCTATTTGATTCATTAAAACAGCAATACTACAAGAGTCCCTATCCTTGTACTTCCCAGTAGCATTTGTTTGGTTCAATAAAGAATAGCTGAATTAGCCAGGCGTGGCATCACATGTCTTTAATTCCAACACTCAAGAGGCAGAGAGGGGTGGGTGGATCTCTGTGACTTTGAGGCCAGTCTGGTCTACAGATCAAGTTCCAGGACAGCCAGAACTGTTACACACAGAAACCCTGCCTCAAAAAAACAAAAATAAATAAATAAGAATAGCAGAATTGATGTGGCCCTGTGTCACAAAAGGATTACCTGTCCTCAAGGAGAACTGGAACTCTTGCTAATTTAGTTATGGCTACCATTGCTACGATGAAACACTGTGACCAATAGCAACTTGGGGATGAGAGGATTTATTTCTCTCATAGGTCCATCAACAGCAGTGCGGAACCTGGAGGCAGGAGCTGATGCAGAGATCATGGAGGGGTGCTGCTTACTGGCCTGCTCCTCATAGCTTGCTCAGCCTGCTTATAGAATCCCTGACCACCTGCCCAGGTGGTACCACGCACAATGGCTGAACCCTCTCCACCAATCACTAATTAAGATAATACCCTACAGGCTTGTCTACAACCTGATCTTAATGGAGGCAACTCAACTGAGGCTCCGTCCTCTCGGATGACTTTAGTTTATGCCAAGTTGATATAAAACTAGCCAGCACAATTGATCCCTTGTCAACTTGACACAAACACATCACCATTAAGCCACAACCTTTTCTTTCTCATTCATCTCCAATATCTCACATTAAAAATATAAATAGCAGGCCATAGTGCTGCATGCCTTTAATCCCAGCACCCAGGAAGTAGAAAGAGGCCTGTGAGTTTGAGGCTGACCTGGTCTATAAGCAAGTTCCAGGACAGCCAAGACTGTTACACAGAAAAACCCTGTCTCAAAAACCCAAAAGAATATATACATATACACACATATATATGTATATGTATAATATACATGTATATTCTTATATATGTTTATATTATATATATATATATATTTAGTTTGAATTTGTAAAGATCATGGAGTTTCATCATGGAGCTTCTATATCAGGATATAGATTTATATCCTTTTAAAACTCCATGTTCTTTACAAATTCAAACACGCCGGGCGGTGGTGGCACATGCCTTTAATCCCAGCACTTGGGAGGCAGAGGCAGGTGGATCTCTGTGAGTTCGAGGACAGCCTGATCTACAAAAGCTAGTTCCAGGACAGTCTCCAAAACTACAGAGATACCCTGTCTTGAAAAAACCAAAACCAACCAACCAAACAAACAAATACATTCAAACACTTTAAAAGTTCAGTGTCTTTAAAATAGCCAATCTCTCTTAAAAATCTAAAATCTTTTAAAATTCAAAGACTCGACTGTGAACTCTTGTAAAATCAAAAAATAAATTAAATACTTTCTTAATTCAAGGGGGAAGAACCAGGGCATGGCCACAATGGAATCAAAGCAAAACCAAACTCCAAAAGTGTAACTAACTCAGTGTCCAGTGCCTGCAATTCACTCACGCTCTTCTGGGTTCCTCCAAGGAGCTTGGGTCACTCCTCCAGCTCTGCCTTCTGCAGCACGCAGCGCTTGTCTTCTAGGCTCCAGCTGACTTCACTCCACTGCTGCTGCTTTGCTTAGTGGTCCTCCCATCTCCAAAATGCTGGGTCCCTTGCTGCAACTGGGCTGCACTTTCACCAATAGCCTCTCCTGGGCTCTCTTCATGGCGTCAAGCCTCAACTTCTCTGCATGATCCCTTCAGTCCTGGGTGCACCTGCCACTGAGGTTGCACCTTCAATGGCCTCTCCTGGCCTCTCACAGTGCCAAGCCATGGCTGCTTTCCACGACCCCTTCATGCCTTCAAAACCAGGACTACTTGGGTGATGCTTACACTACCCCCTTCAACTGTTAGCGCAAGGTACAACCTTGACCACCTCTGGAACACAGCCTCTGTGTGCTGACTCTGAAGAACACTTCCCACACCATGAATTTCTCAGCTCCAGATGACCACCCTTGAGTATCCCTGCAAAGCCAAGGTCTCACTTTAATAGTTCTGGTATCTTGTTAGACACAGCTGATTCTTCAGCCCCAGCTAACTGGGACCATAGAATCTTAATTCAAAATAACAAATGGCCCCAATAAAGTCTTTAAACTTTCCTCTGAACAGTCAGGGCTACACGGAGTAACCATGTCTCAAAAACAACAGCAACAACAGAACTTCTCGCTGAAACTTTACAAGCTTGCCTCCATCTTCTGCATTGCCTGCAACACAACATTCTTATCTTCCAAGCTCCTACAGAACAGCTCAACAAGCACCGAACAGTCAATGGCTTTTCTTGTCCCAAGTTTCATAGTTCTACAGTCCTCCCCAAAACAACATGGTCAGGTTTGTCACAACAATATATCATTCCTGGTACCAATTTCTGTCCAAGTTATAATTACCATTGTTGTGATGAAACACCATGACCAAAAGCAACTTGGGGAGGAGTTTCACATTTCAAATAAACTTGGGTTTATTTCACATTTTGCTCACAGTTCTCGAAAATAGTTCATCAACAGCAGTGAGGGCAGGAACTCAAGCAGGGCAGGAACCTGGAGGCAGGAGGTGATGCAGAGGCCATGGAGGAGTGCTGCTTACCGGCTTGCTCCTTGTGACTTGCTTAGTCTGCTTTCTTATAGAACCCAGGACCACCTGTCCAGGGGTGGCACCACCCACATTGGACAGGCCCTTCACATCAATCACTAATTAAGAAAATGCCTTAGGCCAGCTAGAAAAACAGATCTGTGTCTAGGTCAACAGGGCTCAGAGAGGCTTCATCAAGCAGTGGATAGAAGCAAATGCAGACTCACAACCAAACATTAGGCAGAGCTCAGGTAACCCCGCAGAAGAGGGGAAGGAAGGATTGTAGGAGACAGAGGGGTCAAGGACACCAGGAGAACACAACCCACAGAATCAACTAAGCAGGGCTTAAAAGGGCTGACAGTGACTGGAGCAATAATCAGGGCACCTGCATGGGACTGTGCTAAGCACTCTACATATAGGTAACAGTTGTGTAGCTTGGTGGTCTTGTGGGACTCCTAACAGCAGGAGCAGGGGCTGTCTCTGACTCTTTTGCCTGCTCTTGGGACCCTTTTCCTCCTACTGGTTACCTTACCCAGCCTTGATATGAGGGTTTGTGCCTAGTCTTTTGTTGATTTTGGTTTTGGTTTTTTTCAGACAGGGTAAGACCAGTCTGGCCTCGAATTCACACAGCTCCAACTGCCTCTGCCTCTCAAGTGCTGAGATTAAAGATGTGTGCTGCCACACCCAGCTGATGGAGGCATTTTCTTAATTGAGGTTCCCACCTCTCACATGACTTTAGCTTGTGTCAAGTTGACATAAAACCATTCAGCATGCTGTATGGTGGTGGGAATCCCCAGTCATAAAATTATTTTTGTTGTTACTTCATAACTGTAATTTTGCTATAGTTATGAATTGTAATGTAAATATTTTTGGAGATAGAGGGATCAAAGGGATCGTGCCCCACATGTTGAGAATAAGTATTTTAAATGGTTGTTGAGATAGAGAGATGTCTCAGTGCTTGAATCCTAGCACTCATATCAAATGGCTCATACATACTTGTAACTTCAGCTCCTGGAGAGTCCAGTGCCCCTTTCTGTCCTCCTTAGGCACTGGCACAAACACAGGCAAAATAAATAAAATATGCTGGGCATGATGACATATGCTTTTAGTCCCAGCACTAGGGAGGCAGAGGCAGGCAAATCTCTGAGTTCAAGGTCAGTCTGATCTACTGAGCGGGTTCCAGGACAGCCAGGACTGTTACACAGAAAAACCCTGTCTTGAAAAACCAAGAAAAAATGATTACCTGTGACTGCAAAGCCTTTATTTGCTCTGGCCTTTTATAAAATTTACTGACCCCTTTTGTACAGAAACCTCTTATGATTCTACAAGAAATGAGAATTCACTGTTTGTAAGAATCTTTACTATATTGCTTTGAAGGTATCACACCCCCAGAATGTTCTTCATTATGTATCATTATATATTTTCTTTAGTCTGTGTACATTTAGACCCATAGCCCTTAAGGCAATGGAGGAGGCTGTAACTGGCATTTGCAAATGGATCTAGCTACTGGGTTACAGTACTGTCAATGTATTTGTAGTCAGTGATGCAGAACTCCAGGCTTGTTTCCAGCTTCAGTGTATAGCCCAGTAGGAAATGGGAGGGGGAGATTAAGAAGGGGAGATCAGGAGGATAAATTGGCCTCCTGTGGGAGTGATAGTTAGACACAGGGTGGGTGTCCCAAAGAGTCACAGGGACAATTTTCCCTCCCTAGTCCATTATATGCTATTAGTTTGATTACTCAGCAGAGGGAGCAGGTAGGTTGAGCTGCTATCCAGGAGAAACGTCCCTCCAAAGTCTATTCTGGCCTTGGTACTAGCATCATAATTTTGCAGATAAGGAAACTGAGGACAGCGCTGTGACTTGACCGAGATCGCAGGTCTAAGTCCCTCTGTGTGTTGTCTGCAAAGCGAACTACAATGCGAACTACATCACAGAATTGTGGCTTTCTGCAATGTGTGCCACTTAGCGAGTCCTTCTGCGCCCCTACCCATTTTCGCAGAATGTTAATAGCTAGCATTTGGAGATACTTTTTGCGTACCATGGTAGTGACTATTAACTCAGAAACTTCTCAACACTTATCATCACTGTCATTTTGGCTGCCAGCAGCCACAGGCCTTATTAGTCCATAGCCATAGCCTTTATCTCGGACTAATCACCTGACTACTCTAGCTACGTCATCGCCATTCGCAGTGCAGGAGTCCCCGAGATGTCCCTTCTGAACGTCCTCCTTCTTTGATTTGCTCTCGAATCAGTGCAAAGCACAACCGATGCCAGTCCGTAGGGCTCCTAAAACGACAGGCCTGGAACTGAGAATGGCATAGCAATCAGAACAATGGCGGCGGGGGGTGGGGGGGGGACAGCGCTAGGGGCAGATCCGGGTCTCGAACCAGTGAGTCACGCTTTGCGCAGGCGCAGAACGATCCACGCGCGCCTATTAGGTGAACTCGCGAGAGGTGTGGTGTGCGCTAGAGGCGTTGGAGGCGGACCAGATCCGCGCTGGGGGGTGGACGTGGGCGGGCAAATTAAAACGCTCAGCCCAATGGAAAAGAAGGGATCAGGTGCCCGGGGCCACACAGGTCGCCGGGAATTTGGCGGTGCGAGCCAAGGGCGGAGTTTGAGAAAGGGGCAGCGCTCAGTGAGTAACGGAGGAGCGGGGGGGAGGGGAGGCTGAGGAGGGGAGGGGGGAGATTGGCCAGCCTCGATGGCCGGGTGGAAAGGGGGCGGAGGCTTGGAACTGGCGGAGGGAGCTTGGTTAAACGTTAGGCATCTGAGAAGGGGGTGGGGTCTAATGGATTCTGCTCGAAAGGGGCAGTCTTCTGAGCAGCGGGACACGGTGAAAGGATCGGGTCGAGATCAGAGGGTGTGGAAGGTGCGGGTTCGGCCCTATAGGAGGTGGGGTTGAGTGGGTCTTTAAGGGTGGTGCCGAGGCCACCGCAGCCTGGCCTGGCAGTCTAGAAGGGTCTGTGATTGTCGGGGGAGATAGGCTGAAGAGAGCAAGTTGCGGAAGCCAAGCATTCCGGGCGAGGACTAGAGGTATGAAAGGGTCTGGGAAGTAGAGGGGTGGGGAGCGGTGATTGGAAAGGGCAGGTCTTAGAAGAGCCGGGTTGAGCCTGGGATTACCTTGTTTAATGAAAAGGCAAGATGAGGAAGGAGAATCGTATAAAAGCAGCGAGGTCCAGGAGAACGGAAGACACCAGGTTTCCTCTGTGGCAGAAGATGGCCTTGAGGGGCGGGGTTTAGAAGGCACTGGTAGGGAACAACGTGAAGGATGCAATCTAGAATGGGGGCGGGGCCTGGAAAGGGTTAGAGATGTGGGGTCCTCTGGATACTCCAAGGGCCTCATCACCAACCTACACCACTGCTAGAGCCGTTCCAGGAGCGAAGGCCCTTCAGCCATGAGCTCCACCGGTCAAGATTCTTCTACCAGGCAGCGAAAGAGTAGACACAATCCCCAGTCGCCCCCTCAGGACTCCAGCGCCACCTTGGTGAGGCTCCAGCCCGGCCCTGATGAGGGGGGGAGGGAAAGCCAGCCAGCCATGTCCAGACTCTCATCTTTCTCTCTGATTGGCAGAAGCGAAGTGTTAAGAAGGGTACTGTACCCCACTCCAGCCCCAATCTAGCAGAGGTAAAGAAGAAAGGGAAAATGAAGAAGCTCAGCCAAACAGTTGAAGAAGACCTGATCGTGGGGCTTCAAGGGCTGGTGAGAGAAGCCTGGCTGCAGTTTAGCCTTCTTTACCAAACAAAACAATGATTTTCCCCATCCTGGACAGTATGCAGTGTTTTCTCTGATTGGGGACCTGAGTGAATCTCTGTTTCTTTCTTTGCCCCTGCAGGATCTGGACCCTGAGACAAGAGTATTGGTTGGTACTGGATTGGTGTTTGATGAGCAACTAAATGACTTCCACTGCCTTTGGGATGACAGGTGAGGCTGGGACCTCCAGATTGTCCCCAGAGTAGAAAATTTACACATTTGCCTCCCCTCCCCCAAGCAAGAGTGAATCTCTTTTTATTCTGGCTCATAGTCTGGAGGCAGATGATTTAGGGAGGTGGCGATCATTCTTGAAAGAGTTTTGTTTTAAGCTGACACATCGATAAAGTGCCAAGAGTTGGTGATGTATGTGAACAAAATAGAAAAATCCCTTTTCAGCTGATTGGTGAGTATGAGGGGAGGTCATTAAACAGCCAACAACAGTATTAAGGTGTTTTTTTTTTTTTGGCTTTTCGAGACAGGGTTTCTCTGTGTAGCTCTGACTGTCCTGGAATTCACTCTGTAGACCAGGCTGGCCTCGAACTCACAGAGATCCTCCTGCCTCTGCCTCCCAAGTGCTGGGATTAAAGGCGTGCGCCGCCACCACCCAGCTAGTCTTAAATCTTTGATGATCGTCCTGTCTTAGCCTCCTGAGTGCTGAGATGACAGGCATGAGCTACCTACCACACTTGACTAGAAGTATTTATTAGAGGGCCCTAGACTAGTTAGCCTGCAGAGTCACAGAGTCTCCCTCAAGGAAGAGACAGTTATGCTGAAATATATTTCCCATCTGCTCTACTTTCCGAAAGATTCTGCTTATTCCTTTTGGCTTTATGTCCAAAATATATTCGCTATCTGACTCTCATTGATCAGTCCCTGCTTCCAGTTTCCACATTGAAGCCTAAAAAATGTTTCAGATGATGTTCCCCCTCCTTAAAATACTTCAAGGACAGAGCATTGCTCTTAAGGTAAAGTCTTAATTCTTTCTCCCAGCCTCTAAGGTTCCACGTGATTTGGCTCCACGTCACCCTTTGTGACCTAGTCAGCCAGTCCTCATTTGCTTCAGTTCACTTCACCGACACTGGTCTCCTTGCTGTACTTTCGGCATGCCAGATACCCTCTAAGCGTGGGTCTTTACTCTTGACTGATCCCTCTTTTAACTTTCACAACTGTTGAGACTCTCCCATCTGATCTTTGATGTCTTACCAGCCTCTGTGATGGTCTGTTAATCATTGCACTACTATTTACAAATACAGTAGCTCTCTCCCCGATTCTGACCTAAAACTAACTCGTGATGTCAAAAGCTTTCATTTATGGTCTCCATTTGTTGAGGAGCTAGGGATACAGCAGTAAACCAGACTGCCTTCAAAGCCATCAAGAAAAGTGTCAGAGCAGGGCTATGCAGAGTAACTGAGCTGGAAGGGAGAGCAACGTTTGAGGGGAAGGGGTGTTTCCATTTTTTAATACAACAGCCAGGGGAGGCACTGCTGACGTTTGAATAAAAATACCAGGGGAGGGTTATTAAGGGAGTGAGCCATGGAGTTATTACGGAAAAGAGTGTTTTAGGCAAAAGATATTGAAGTCTACGGACCTGACTGAAAGGTATGTATTCAATTGAAGAACAAGGAGACCATTACAGGTGAAACAAAGTGAAGGATGCGGCATGTGACAAGAAACAGGGTCAGAAAAAGGATAGGGACACGGTTTTTAGGGCCTTTCAGCTCTAATAAAGATTTCGGCTCCTACTGGGAATGGAGTAAGAGCTACAATAGGGTTGTGACTTTTCACCACTGTCTGACTGCCGTGCACAGAAGGGGCTGTTGGGGGGAGGGGGTGTAGAAGTAGGGTGGTTCTTGAGACGGTGACGTGACAGACAGCTAAGACGAGCTTCTGCTGGCATGCGGTAGCGGGGAGGAAAGTGTAAGACTTCAGATATGACAAGAGGAAAGAAAGGCTAATGGCACAGGTAAGGGGTGAGCAGCTATGGGAGGCGAGCTGGGAGGTGTGGCTAAAGCAGATGTGGTCCCTAGTGTCTTACTTGTCTGGGTGGGTATGTGACTGCATCTTCACCTCGCCAGTTTCCCTGAATGCCCTGAGCGGCTCCATGCCATCAAAGAGCAGCTGATCCTGGAGAGCCTGCTGGACCGCTGTGTGTCTTTTCAGGTGAAGTCCCCCAACATGCGGGTGGTGGGCAGGGACCTGGCAGCACCTAGGCATGACCTGTGCTCCAGCCCCTTTATTCCTCATGTCTCCCCAGGCCCGGTTTGCTGAGAAGGAGGAGCTGATGTTGGTTCACAGGTGAAAACTTGGGAGCTTGGTAGGGCGGGAGGAGGATGCCTTCACCAGGACAGACTGAATGCTTTGGGAAAGAATCCCATAAACTCTGTGGCTGGCCTTGGGCAAGTCCCTGAGCCTCTCTAAATCTGTTACTGCTCAAAAACCTAAGTTCCAGCCAAGTGTGATGCTGCATGTCCATAATCTCATTACTTGGGATGTGAAGACAAGACAATCAGGAATTCAAGACAAACCTCAGCTATATAGCAGGTTCAGTCTGGGTTACATGAGACCCTGTCTGAAAAAGCCTCTAATCACCCTAAAGAAAAGAAATCTCAGTTTTTCAGGAAGGTCAATATGTGTGTCAGGTACCTGACAGCATCTAAGATCCTAAGCCTGTGATGGGCTAGTGTTCTTATAATCTGGTTAGTTAACTGATGGTGAATGTCTGGCAGAGTGATCAGGAGGCTCCTAGGGGCCTGTAGAAACTCAAAAGAAGAAGCCTGGTATAGTGTGGTTCACAGAAAACTAGCTTGGCAGAGAGTATCTGAGTTGAGCTCCAAGAGGCAAAAACGGGGGTGAATCCAACAAAAATAAGAGCCGAGGTAAGCTAGACGAGAAATAGGAACCGTGGCCTACATCCCAACCGATCCCCTAGGTTGATTGGAGGTCTGATTTGGCCAGAGGCCTGGTTTGTAGAAGGTATGGCTGGGGAGGGAACAGGGCTCTCAGTCCTATCCCCTATCTTGTGTCCCCAGCCTGGAATACATTGATCTGATGGAAACGACCCAGTACATGAATGAAGGAGAACTTCGCATACTAGCAGGCACCTATGATTCCGTGTATCTGCATCCGGTATGCATGAGAACTGTGAGGTCAGGGTGTGGCAGCAATTCCGGGGTCTCCCATGTCTGTGCCAACTTCACTGTGGGAAGAAAGCTAAGTAGATAGGCCAGTCCTTTCTCATTCTTTCTCTCTGGCTCTCCACTGTCTCTAGAACTCATACTCATGTGCCTGCCTGGCCACAGGCTCTGTCCTCAGGCTGGTAGATGCGGTCCTGGGGGCTGAGATTCGGAATGGCATGGCCGTCATCAGGTAGGACTCTCAAGCATTTGACTTCTTACATTTTTATTTCATTTTATTTTATTTTTTTAAGACAAGATTCCTCTGTCTAACCCTGGCTGTCCTGGCACTGGCTCTGTAGACCAGGCTGACCTTGAACTCACAGATTTGCCTGCCTCTGCCTCCCAAGTGCTGGGATTAAAGGTGTGTGCCCCTGCTGCT